TTATTTGAACCTTTATTTCAAACTTATCTTTTATTTCATTTTTAATTTCAACCCCCACACACTAGTCAGTCCTTTTATTATAAGGTTAAGCCTTTTAAATTTCATTGCATGTTTGTTCATTCGTTTCAATAAAACACCTTTTGTAATTCGTATATCTTTGTTAACTTATTAACTTTAAACTTTTATAGAACAGGCCTAGCCTAAAATGAATATTGTAAGGTGAGTTTACAATATTATGAGAAAATATTGATAGCCCAGTCAACATGTGTCGTAAAACACCAATTAAAGAAAAAAGATTGTAAAAAGCAGATTTTTTGCCCTGATTTGATTTGTAAGGGTTTCTTAAGTAACGTTTTTCTCGATTGTTAAATAAGATTGTAATGTGGAAATGAATAGTGACCTCTTGTCGGCAATTTTCAATTTTATATATTTGAATTCCTTATTAAATTCCAAATCACTTGGTGCAAGTCCCATGCATCTACGATTTTTTTGGTTGAAGTTATAGGACTTTGAAATTTTAGGCATAAAAACAGTTTTTTTTTTGTATTGTGAGTCAAATCATGGATTTTCTCTGAGAAACGTGGTATGAAATTTGCATAATAAGAGAACATGCCGGCGGAGGGATGAGGTGCCTTTTGGAATAGGGAGCTCTCTTAGTGGTTTCAAAAGATCAGGGTCTAGTTGAATTGTTCTGTTACTAATTTAACGGCAGGTGTATAAGTTTGCAATGAAAATCTGGATTTTTTTTTATATTTACAGTCAAGTTATATTTTAACACTACTTCCATATATCTCTTCAAATTCGTGTCATGTTCTTCTTGAGAGTTTCCACAGCCAGATGGTTGGTTATGTCGTCCAGGTAAACCTCGGAACCTTGAAGTTTTTGGTCATCGGATCAATTTTCTTCATTTTTCTTTGGAAAGTAGGAACGCCATTAGTAACTCCAATACCCCCGCCGCAGCAAACCTGCAGACTCAGCAAATTTCTATTTGGGTACCTGATTGGATTTACACTAAAATGTCTCCTTAAAAATATCAAATTTATTCCCTATTTAAATAGAATTAGTTTAACGAGTACTTAGGTTTGCTGCAACAAGGAGGGTAAAAAAGTGTTTTTTTTAATGTAAAATGTTAATAGGTAGCCTACTGTAGTTTAGTAATAAATTAATGTATTTTCCAAATTTGATCAAACATGTTTATAAATAAACAAGCAAACTACAACAGTTGACTTATTCCCCATAAGAATAACATGGGAATTTTAAAATTAAATTTTTTTTAAATTTTCTCCGCAACCATTAGGCGCATAATAACGCTTCAATATACTAAATTATTTGTTTTTTAAGCTCTACAAAATGGTTTAGAAATAAATTGTGAAATTTTGTGTTTTTAGGGTAAAAAATGGGAAAAACCTATTTTTACGCCATAAAACCCTGTTCCCATAGTCCGATCATGCAGGTTCACGAACTCATTCAAGTTTATCCCGCTTTACACCTTTAAACCAAATTTCATCAAAATCGGACAAAATTACTGAAGTTATCGCGTTCACGGACACACACATATATACTGTATATCTATATATATAGGCAAAGCCCTCACTGACTGACTGACTGACTCACTCACTCATCACTAATTCTCCCACTTCCCATTTACCTAGGAGGATGAAATTTGGTACACTGATTCTTTAGGCATTAAATAGGAAAACTAAGTTGTTTTTATTCTGATCGGACTCTAGGGCTCGGTCCCAGTGGCTCTGGGGTTTCCCATGTCAACCTTATGAGTACTCATATTTAAATGAAATTAATGAATCTTAACAGCTGTTTCAATTAAACAAGTTGGTTCTGTTCTATGATCTGCAATAGCATTAAAGTTACAAGGATGACCAACAGGGTGCAGCACTATTATTTTTTTTAATTTATGACAACAGCTAATTTGCAGCCAAAAGGTGAGTGAGCGTAGCGAACTAACTTCAACCTGGAGGCGAGTTAGCGTAGCGAACGAGCTAACTTGAAGGCAAGTGAGCGCAGCGAACAAGCTCACATATGAAGTAAAACGGGGCAAAGCCCGCGGGTACAGCTAGTATATATATATACATATATAAAAATTTGAACGAATGGTGTTTTTTGCCTCTGGGGACATAAAAAAGAAAAAGTAAATTGGTCCCGGGCCTAGGTCCTACCATGCCACCTATGGTAATAGCTACTTCCCTATAGGGAAATTTGCTAAAAGGAATTCTCTTTAAGTAAAAGAGCTTACCACAAGCTTCAAAAGCTGTGAATGGTTGATCTTCTTCTCGTATAGGGACTTGATGGTAAGCACTTTTCAAGTTTATTGTGCTGAAAATTGTATGATTCGCTACTCTATTAACAATTTCGTCAATTCTAGGTAGTGGAAATACTTAATGAAATGGTGACCTTACAAAGTAGGTAGTTTAAGCCAAGTATGAATGGAGATGAGTGGCACGATCTTGGAAAAGCATCAAGTGTATCGGTTGATTGTTTGAGAGTAACCACCAACCATTCGCCTTTTGTTATTGTCATCAGTAACTACCAACACTTCTTGTGCTCTCCAAGGAGTGAGACTTTCTTCTATTATACCTTCCTTAAGGAGCTTTTCAATTTCACTCTCGATGAATTTTTAATCTAAAAACGAATGACGAGTTGATTTAATAGCTATTGGCTTAGCTTCTGAAGGAATGTTTTGAAAAAGAATATCAGGTTCCATATTGGCCACCACCCAGGAGCAAACCTCAAGTGGTTTTTTGTCACTTCCAAATTGAATGCTTAAAGATGAGTGACGACCCAAAATGTCATGCCCTATGATGACATCGGTGTAATCATAGGACACATGTCCTTTAACTTTCATACTAACAATGCATTCACCATAAGTTGACGAACACAAGGAAATATTGGCCATTGATACTTTCATGCCTTTAGCTTTGTTAATATGAAGGTTTAATCTCTGCGATAAGTTTTTACTAATGAAACTAGAAGATTAGCTACAAGTGTCAATGAGAGCTTGCGACTTTTTCTCCATTAAGTTCTACAGTTGTTATAGATTAGCAGTACCCGGGGGCTTTGCCCCGTTTAACTTCATAAGTGAGCTCGTTCGCATGGCTCAATCACGCCCTGGTTGAAGTTTGTTCGCTGCGCTCACTTGCCCTCGGGTTAAAGTCACTCAGTGGAGTTGGGTCACTCCAGGTTAAAGTTCTTTCGCTACGCTCACTCACCTTTTGGTTGCAGATTAGCTGTTGTCATAAATTTAAAAAAATAATAGTGCTGCACTCTGTTGGTAATCCTTGTAACTTTAATGCTATTGAACATCATAGAACAGAACCAACTTGTTCAATTGAAACAGCTGTTAAGATTCATTAATTCAATTTAAATATGAGTACTCATAAGGTTAACATGGGAAACTCCAGTGCGACTGGGGCGAAGCCCGAGAGTCCGATCAGAATAAAAACAACTTAGTTTTCCTATTTAATGCATAACGAATCAGTGTACCAAATTTCAGCCTCCTAGGTAAATGGGAAGTGGGAGAATTAGTGATGAGTGAGTGAGTGTGTCAGTGAGGGCTTTGCCTTATATATATATAGATTTTGATAAACAAGATGAAACATTAGCCAAGCATTCCTTAATGGAAGATTATAGGTACCGGTAGGTTTTTATTTATTTTTTCTGATGATTGTTGGCAGACATGTTTGAAATTACCTTTCTTACTACAGTGATGACAAACTGCATCCTTAGCTGGACATATAAATCTCGGATGTCTCTATTGACCATAGAAATAACATGATGATTTTGCAGCAGCTGTAATATTAATTATCTTTACTTGATCGAGTTTCTGGCAGTTGAGTTGATTGATTTTCATTTTATTTTATGTAATTTACAATTGGTGGATCTTGATGGAATCTGCTCTGATGTTGTGCTAGTTGATCTAGCTTGAGTAAAGGGATATCTGTCAGGCTGAGATTTGAGCTTTCTAAAAGTCGTTGCCGAACAGTTGAATCTAAAAGTCGAGCAATGAAAAGGCATCTCAAATACAATCATTTCTGTTAATCTCAGCTGAAACTGATTTTAAGTTGCAATATTTGCTTAAAAGTTTTAAGCGTTTTAAGTATTTACTGACTGATTCCGCTTCAATTCCTTGTTACAAGTTGATGTCTTCCAAAAACTTCATTTAGGTTTGACAAAAATGTTCTGAAGAATACTCCCTGCTTCATTATAATCCTCTGCTTCGCATATGTAGTTGAATACCGATGATGACATATGATTGATGAGCAAATGAAGCTTTTCTTGGTCATTAGCTTGAGTGATGAAAATAAAGTTATTGAATGTGTTAAACCAAGGTGTTGATATTCTTGAACTGCTGAACTGGATTCAGGATCTATATTTAATCTTTCAGGCCTTAACAGTTTCTCCATGAGTGAGTTTGTTTGCTCAATAAATTGATGTAGAGAGAAAAGAATTATACCTTAAACCGAGGTTTTATAAAGCAGAACAAAACATACTAATGTAAAGTTTGTTTTAGAAAACAAATAAACAAATAACACAAATTGAATCAGCTGCTAAATACAAAATTCTATAAGACAGGACAAACCCATGGTGGAAGGAAAAACATTGATGTGCTATTCCCGTCATATTCTGACGTCACTTGGATTGCAAACAAAAGATCACCTGATTATAACTGTCAAATTAGTATGTATTTGTTTTGATTTGATTGTTATTGTTTTTATAAAAACACAAATTATAAAAACACAAATTATAAAAACAATAACAACTAAATCAAAACAAATACATATACTAATTTGACAGTTATAATCAGGTGATCTTTTGTTTGCAATCCAAGTGACGTCAGAATATGTGGGAGTAGCACACCTATGTTTTTTCCTTCCACCATGGGGCAAACCAGATTCCAATCCTTCAAACTGGCTCCTTTCGAAGGACTTTTAAAATTAAAAACGCAGTTAACAGCCATTTAAAAGGACAAATAAAAATACACTAAATTTGAAACAGAATACAAGCATTATTTATTTTCACATACTAACTTAAACCCTGGTATAAAACATATATGATCCATTGTAGAAATAAATATTATACAGTTAAAATGGTAAGCAAGTCAACTGACTTTCGACCCCAGGGTACTTCTACCATGGTCTCTTTTCATGGCAGCCATTTTTTCTCTCTCCGCTCTCCTTTTCTCTCGGACCAACTGAGCTGCATCCCAAGACTCTGCTTCCTCCCAGCTGTTGCCTTGGCCTTCATTCTCCTCCCAAGAGCCAAGTTCAGGTCCAACCTACGTTCAAAGGAACATAGTTAAGGTTACTGCACTTGTGATGAGGATCAACTTATTTAAAACCCTTAGGCTAGAAATGAAATGAAATGAAATGAAATGAAATGAAATGAAATGAAATGAAATGAAATGAAATGAAATGCTTTATTGTCGTTAAAACTGAGTACAAAGTTCATGACAATCGTCAAAAGAAAAAGAAAACAATCAAGATGGCAACTAAAACTAAAACTCTAAACCAAAGTACTCTTCATGTTTATACAGGCAAGCCTGGGTTAGAGTAGTTTTTAAAACATGTTTAAATTTTGAAACACACAGGTTTTTGATGGATGCAGGCAAGAAATTGTACATTTTAACACCTTGGTACTCAAAACTATTTTGAGTGGCTGTATACTTATGCCTTAGTGTAGACAGATTATCTTTAGATCTAGTACAATAGTTGTGAACATCAGATATCTTTTCAAAGTGAGAAATGTTTTCTTTTACATACAACAAACTTGCCAAAACATACAAGGATGGAAATGAGAGAATGTTAAGACTCACGAAAAGGGGCTTACAATGTGTTCTTCTATTCACACTACAAATTAACCTCACCGCCTTCTTTTGTAAATTAAAAAGCAGCCTGTTAGCATAAAAACTGTTGGCCCACAGTGAGGTACCATAGGACAAATAGCTATGAATGTGGCCATAATATATACAAATAAGGACATCATCTGAAAAAGTGGACCTAAGTGCTCTTATCATAAATATGCCTTTTACAATTTTAGATGCTACAAAATCTACATGTGAAAACCACTTCAAGTTTGACTGCAAATGAAAACCCAAAAACTTCAGAGTGTTTACATCATTACCATTACTGCTTAGACTAATAGTCAGGTCCTGAGTCTTATCAGCATTAAGACATAACTTGTTTGCATTACACCAGTCGTTAATAACAGCAGATTTTGTGTCCAATGTGTGTGTAACATCATTCAAAGAGTTACCCCGTACACACAAGGCCAAGTCATCAGCAAAAAGAAAGCTTTTTACAGATAAGTCATTAATATTACAAGGTAAGTCATTTATATACAGTATAAACAGGGTAGGGCCCAATATAGAGCCTTGGGGCACTCCGTGGGGCACTCGAACAGGACTAGAATAAGTGCCATTTAGATAGACTTTTTGCCATCTGTCACTAAGATAAGATTGAAAAAACCTAACCAAAACATCATCAAGGTTATAGCAAGAAAGCTTATTCACAAGGAGATCATGAGCCACTGTGTCAAAGGCCTTAGACATGTCGTACGATCTGAACACTATACCACTTTTGGCCTCTAAACTTTGAAAGCAATTTGATATCAGTGCCTGGGTTGCTTGGACAGTGCTGTGTTTGGGCCTAAAGCCAAACTGACTACTTGCTAAAAGGTTACTATCCTCAAGATACTGAGAAAATCTACGATGTACGAGATGTTCCAAGACCTTCGACACTGCAGGGATAATAGATATAGGCCTATAGTTAGCAATGACATTTTTAGGCCCTTTTTTATGGACTGGTATAACCTTAGAAATCTTGAACTTGTTTGGGTAGCAGCCTTGTGTTATACAAAGATTAAATAGGTAAGTCAAAACTTCACTTATGTAACTAGAAGCTAACTTCAAGATGGGGACATTAATTCCGTAAATATCTAAACAAGAGCTATTGTTAAGACTGTTGATGGCTGCATACACCTCTTCTACAGTAAATAGTCCAATCCTAAAAGCATTGTTGTCCTCAATAGTCGGAAGAGCGTTGCAAGAGGTCAAATTTCTAAGATATTGCTCAGGACCATTTGAGAGAGCCAACGGAAATGACCGATATTTATTCTGCAGACAGATTGGTTGGTGTTCATAAAATAAAATAACCTACTTCATCGCGCTTCCATGGTGCTGCCATCACGCTCTGCATAAGCGCTGTTACCTTGTCACAAGACTATGTAATGCTTCCTGCGCATGTAAATATTTGAAGTTAAAAACCTGTTTCTAAAACATAAACCTTGTCCAAATTCACCATGTCCATATGGTGTTTATTTTAAATGAAATTGTGTCCAACAAAAAAGTTTTTATTCTTGGTTACAGAATGTGTTATATAAGTAAAGACGGGTTGCGAATATTTCTGACATTGTTGTTTACATTCACAGACAGGCAGCAGAGAAATATCCTCACCATTATTTGGAATGAAAACATAACATCTGCAACAAGAAGTTATTTGTTATGTCTTTTTAGAGTGGACATGTTTATACAGTAAAATATTCCTGCCGCAGCAAACCTGCAGACTAAGCAAATTTCCATTTGCCTGAATTGATTTTAAATTAAATATATTTAAATAACATTAGGTTTAACAAGTACCTAGGTTTGCTTCTACAGGGATGCTATTTTTTTTTTTTTTTTTTTTTTTTTAGTAAAATATTAATAGTTTAGGATAAAATAAATAAATTTGTCAATTTTGATCAAATCAAAATATATCCATAAACAAGCAAACAACAATATTCTCCATTTAGAATAACATGGGAATTTTAAATTTACAGTTCTAAACCAAATTTTATAAAAATCTGAAAAAAATACTCAAGTTATCACGTTTACGGACTAATCCATAAATCTATAATTATATTAATATTTTTAACAGTTGGCGTTTTTGGCCTCTGGGGACATCAAAATGGAAAGTTAACTCAGGGATTCCATTGTAACGGGTGTTACACTTTGGACACTTTAGATTTAATTTACATATAAAAGGAACTGTTTAATCTGAAATATGAAACTGACTCTAAAAAGATCTCATCAATGTTCATTATATTTAACAGGTAACATTTGTTTTTACTTGTTGGATAGCCTTAAATATGGGAAAAAAGGGGCGTAACGGGTGTTACTGAAAATGGACAGTGAAGTTAGACTTCATGTAAATGTTCTTAAAAACCTGTGAATTTTACAACTGTAAAATTATGATTATTTTTTTAGTTATTCCTCATTAATTGTATATGGTAAAACTGTAATCTAAATTATTGTAAGTATTTATATTTTGTTATTTAACAATGAAATCATGCGTAACGGGTGTTACATGAAAATGTAACGGGTGTTACGGAGTTGCTAAAAATATGACTTTTTGACATGTATTACACAATAATTTGTGAAAAATTACAACAAGAAGTAAAATTAAGCTTTATTTAATCACAATAAGCAACAAAAACTTTTATTTTATAGTAATAAGTAATATAAAACTAGAAATCAACATTTAGGACTCTTGTCCCTTCATTTTACACAAAGGTAACTTCTAGTGGAAACTCATACTGAATTGATTAAAGTCCTCTGGGCTTCACTTTAGGTTGTTATAATTTGCCAACAAAATGATTAAACTTAACTGGTTGTATTGTTGTAAAGTCATATAAAACTATAATGAACAGTTTTGAATACGGTAAGCCCTTTATTTTTCACAAACGTCAACTGCTAATGGAAACTCATAGAGAATTGTAAAAAGACCTTTAGGCTTCACATCAGGTTGTTGTAATTTGCCAACAATATTACTAAATTTAACATCAGTAATATCATTATTGTTAGCAATGAAAACAGTTTTTGACAACCTTGTCCCTTCAAAAACATAACCGAAACAAACCCTTCATTATCAACCCCACCCTGGCAAATTGCCGCGTACCGATAAATTTTGCCCTCTTTCACCTTCTGACCACGAGATTGTTGACTGGGAACGTTAACTAGAACAAATAAGCCCGAATAAATGTCACTGACATCAACAGGCTCACTTGGTAGAATGTCCTCAGTTTCAGGCTCGTCTTCTGAATAAACATCATCATAGTGGAGACGTGTCTTCATGCTAGGAGTTATCAAATCTTCCTCGAAATCTTCTTCACTTGATTCAATGTCTTTGCAGATTGGTATTTTCTCCATTAAGGACCTAGATGTCTTACCAATTAGAATGTTTTTGGAATCGTACACTTTGAAGAAGTGGCACGCTCGAATGCCAGGAATCTTGTCGACGCTGTTCCAAAATGCATTGAGATACGGTTCATTATTGGCTACAGTACCCATGTCTACATAAAAGCTGGCAATTCCTGATACATTTTTATGTACATGCTGATAAAAGTCTTTAGCTGTTGTTATGTGAACATCTCTGTTTCCTTTCACTGTTTTTTTTTTTGGCCTCTGGGGACATCAAAATGAAAAGTTAATCAGTCCCAGGCCTAGGTCTTACCGTGCCACCTATGAATGGTAGTAGCTACTTCCCTGTAAGGAAATTCTCTAAAACCAGAAATGTAAATTAATATCAATATTAGAATTGATAATTAAAATTTTTTGTGTTAGGCCACGTTACCCGACTATCCATAATGCTGTTATAATACCACAAAATTAAACATTGTTGCTTCGTTAACTAGCTTTAGACCTTTTAGATTGTTACATGACCAAAAGACAGTTGTTTATTGCTGAGGTGAGTAATAATGGAGACCAGCTAATATTCAGTGTTGGGGAAGCTACTTTTAAAATGTAGCTAGCTACAACTACTGCTACATTTCCAAAAAAGTAGCTTAGCTACAGCTACAGTTCCGAAAAAGTAGCTAACTACAACTATACAGCTACAATGAAATGTAGCTAGCTACAATTTTAGCTACTTTTTAGCAATTTTAACAATTTTAGCAACTACATAAACCTAACATTACAACAACGCAACCAAAATAAGTTAGTTGGGTGTTCCATCATATTTAGTACTTATTTTTAAATATTGCATTATTTTTTTACCGACTTCCCCACTACCAACAAAAGGAGGAGGTTCTCAATTTGTCTGTGGCGATGTTTTTTTTTTCTATGTATATTCACCAATTTATCTGTGATTCTTTTACCGATCAACGTGGTTCCACCACCAAAATAACCAGAAGAGTTTCTATTCGGTACCATATATAGCATTATGTTTAAGAAAAATATTTGTTTGGTGAAAAATGCTGAAAACCTCAAATATTCAACATATATTTTGTTTATATTTTTGCAGAGAAGGCAATAAATAATAATAACATTCCTACAGCTGTTAGTTAAAACCATTTAAATGAAGCTACAGTTTCTTCATGAAACAGTTGCTTCATATTGATTAATAAACTATTTCTTGCCATGGAGCCTAAATAAGTTACATTGAAAAAATCCATTTTGTTTTGAAAAAAGGTAGTCTATTTCAACATTTGACCTGATTTGTGTATGATTCTGTTTTGAGTAATGAATGTTCTGACTTATAAAACATAGTGAATAGCTGTATGATATTGACAATTTAAGGTGTATTGTGAAAACCAAAGCATTCGTAAAAGAGGTCCAAATATAAATTAGATGCAATTATTCCTTAAACGCAATAAGAGGTGTGAGATTGCATAATCGTCAATCGTCTTAAAAGTGTTAAATATTTTAATTACTAAACATGCATTTGAAGATGTGGAATGTTTATTAATATTCTTCACTGTCAATAATATTATGCCTGCTTTGGAAATGGGAAGCTGATTTGCAATTTCGACTACATCTTGAGCAAACAAAACCACCTACCCCTTAAACCACTTTTAGCTGAACCAATCATATACGTATTTTTCAAAGGTAATATACTGTACGTGATAACAACCAATCTTCTACTTTTAAGAGATTTTTTAGTGCTGATGGCTGAGGAATAACTTTCTTATTGTTACAAAAGGCTTGGGACCTTACTGTATTGCGTTTTATGATGTAGAAGTACACCAATTGCTGGAAACTATGATGTCTGGCATTTCAATGTCTCTAGGAAAGACATTGAGTTTTTCATTAGGCCTAATGTAATGTACAACTCTGTTTGTTTTTTTGTTTTTTTTATCCAAAAATGTTAATTTTTAATACCCATTGATTATGTCACCTGAACAGGTGACTCAAGCAGTTTAAAAATAATTGTAAATAGTTGTTCTGTGGCACTTTTGATTGTTTCAAACAGTTTTGCTTATCAAAAACTTTAAGTAACTAATATATAACAAATTATACAGTCACAAAAAATCATGAAATAATTTATTTTCGTAAAAAATACAACCGACTTCAAATGCTCTAAAAAGAATGAAATAATTTCAATAAAGTAAACTTTTGTATTAGTCAAGCTCACGTATTTCAAGTCAGCGCGGCTCTAACTGCAAAAATATGAATAAAATAAAAGATATTGAGAGTGTATTTTGAAAATCAATAAATTATCGCTGGATAACATAAATATATAAAAAAAACATATTGAACTGTTTTGTTTATATATCAAAGGAAGTATTTTCTTGTATTTTATGTTTACTTCAGGATGATTGCATAGTGAAAATAACACAAACACAAATGTTCTAAATGAATAGGAAAATTATTTATTTTGATTAAGGAACGCGGCAGCGTTCTGCCCCGCCAAGTCCCCCAGCGGTACACAGCTGCTGCAGTGTATATATACATGACGTGACAAAGTGGCTTTTTACTCGTCTATAGTTCTGAAGAAACAAAAGCTATTAAAATAATTATTCATCTACTGGGTAGGGGCACTCATTCTCAACCAAATAAAAAAAAGAATTTAAAAAATGGTTGTGTTTGAGCCAAGAAAAACTAGTTTTAAAATTCACAAATTTTCCGTGTTCTCCTTCTCCTCCTCCTTCTCCTCCTTCTCCTTGAATGTTGACGGACCTACAGCCCAAACCACTGGCTCAATTTTAATGTTTTTTATGTTGTTTGAAAGCCCTTAACGTGTAGATGTGCCTTTTGAGGGTCTCAAGTCGGTGCGTTGACCCATAAACCATTGGCAAGCCCTCAAAGTATGATTTTGGCCCATTTAAATAACATGGGATTAAAACAAAACAAAAGAAGGACCAGCTGCGATTAAATCTCAATTAATTTAAATGTTTGTTAGAGAAATTCATAGGAACAGCTGAAAAATTATTTTAAAACTTTTATAAAGTTTTTTTTAGGTATATCGAGTGTTTTTTATTTACTACTTACTATATAAAATTACTTAGAGCAGTGATATTTCCCGATACTTTCCATTGAAAAATGCAGTGTACCGATGGTACACTGGTACAGCAGCTCGTTATTTTTAATAGTTTAATACTACTTATCAAAACATAAGAAACCTAGGAACTTGAAACTTAGTACTAGTACTAAGGTTTGTTTTATGTTATGATACACTAAAACAAATAAAACAATCGGGAAAATCGCTCTACGTATGTTAAACAAGCAATTAAAAAGTGATATGTAAATTTAGGATAAATGAGTTTTTCAATATTTGTTTTGCCTTATGCTAACAAACCTAATCTGTTTGATTACATTTTTACTTCTCTAATAAGGGCTCAATTTACACTAGTCTTTAGATATACGGGTTTAATTATCAGAACACTTATGTAACACCAACGCATTTTATGTTGTTCAAGATGACCATTGATGAAATTTGAAACTGAGTTTAAGCTCAGGGGTTTGTTAATTAGTAATTTTTGGTACGTGTGTCAAAAAGTTTTTAATCGGTTTAAAGCAGATTAGACCAAAAATGTAGAATTTATTCTACACAAATAATATTATTGAAATTAAATGAGATGTAGTTGTGCCATGGTCTATATATCAGAGAAAAGAGGACTTTTATTTAACTGTTACTTTTCAACAAAAATAAATACAATCTAACAAAAAACCACTAAGTGGTAACACTTTCCCCGCCAAGTCAGCAATCCAAAAAAGATAATAAATCATTACTTTTTCCGCCAAGAAATACAATGTAATGTATGTAAGTTTGGCAACTTGGCGGCAGACTTTTGCTCGATCACTTTAAAAAATACCATAAAACTAGTTTCATTGAGCAAGTATCTCTCCCATTACATTGCTAGGTGAGAGCTTATTTTACAAAATTTTACCTTATTTGTGCCACATTTCATAAAATCATAATAGTGATGGTTTTATATTTACTGATTACCTCAAAATTATTATACTTAGTTGGACTAATTAATTAGAGAAGTTGATTTGTGAAATTATCCACGAACGTAACTTAAATGAAAAAAAAACCAAGCAAAAGTCTGCCGCCAAGTTGCCAAACTTACATACATTACATTGTATTTCTTGGCGGAAAAAGTAATGATTTATTATCTTTTTTGGATTGCTGACTTGGCGGGGAAAGTGTTACCACTTAGTGGTTTTTTGTTAGATATTATGATAGGGAAAAGAAGCTAGTTTAAAATTAAAACGTTACTTTTCCAAGTTAGAAATATGTAAATACAATATAATCTTTTTAAAAATACTCGTTAATACCACTATAAGATTATAATCACCTTTAGTTATAGAGAGTCATCTGCAATGTGGACATCCTCTTTAAATTGTGTATCAAAAATCATCATAGAGCAGCGCTGCCTTAAAATATGTAAGCTTGACTAATACAAAAATTTACTTTATTGAAATTATTTCATTCTTTTTAGAGCATTTGAAGTCGGTTGTCTTTTATCAACTATTAAAAACAATAAAACTGTAAAACGATTATTTAAAAATACTTTTTTGTGTTACAGAGCCTAGCCTACTGAAATTGGAGTTAATTGCCTATCTTTATTTTTAGTGTTAAAAACTATATTGCTTTAACTTTTAACCATAGTGATATGTTACTTGTTCTATGAATAACACTTTTCAATGTCAAGAAATCGTCCTTTGTCATTATGCATAGGTGAAATTGTGGTTCAACAAACGTTGGTGCAGAAAACAGTGTTCAGCAAAACTTATCCTGAAATCGGCTTTTTAATTTAAACATGTTGAAAAATTGTCAAGTAAAAATAACATTTAGGCCTACGTGGCTTTGTAAAAGGTTGGCTATAGTAGGCTTCTTCTTACAAGGACTAAACAGATATATTCCTTTCTTATTAATTTATCTTGGTATTCATTTTAATCCAATAGCATCCAATAGCAATCCAATAGCCTAGGAATAGTCCTTGACAAGAGCTGTTAGCAGGAGCAAACTATGCTATTTTTTTCAATGTAAGTTTCATGTTGTATGGAGATTTTTTGTTATAATTGTTATGTGGTCTAGGCATATCTTAAATCTCATCAGGTAATTTCCTCTTCGTTAATTTAGTAAACCTTTGAAAAATCTTTGTAATGCAACCAAGGAAGGGCTTGTGATCATGAACTACAATCTACAGCGAAAGCAAAGGTTGATAGAGCTTTCTGATTATTTTACGGTTTAGGGATGGTTTCCATTAAAACCAAAGTTCAAACTATTGATTAATAAAGAAACTAAATTGATAACTGTATAATTTCCCTGTCAATCACTTGCAAACATTCAATAGCTTCTCTTGTCACCGGTAACGTTTAAACGCCGTCTGCATCTAGCGATTGTTTTTTATCTGACAGTAATCAATAACACTCAGATAATAGCCTCCATGTCCACGCAACGTTGTAATAGGTAATGAAACGACTGCGACCAGCTGTATGAAGCCAAGAAAGTAGGCCTAACTTTCTTGGAAATCTCAGTTTGAAAGATGTTGTTTCATGTAAGGTTATGATAAAAATCACTCAATCAATGTTAATGTAGCGAGAAAAGTAGCTAAAATTCCGCTACCTACAACTACTTTAAAAATGTAGCTAGCTACAGCTAAAGCTACAAAATTTTAAAAGTAGCGTAGCTACCTAACGCTACAATAAAAGTAGCGCGCTACTTCCCAACACTGCTAATATTTACTTCTCAGAGTCATATTTAAAATATCTCATTACTTTTTTTCCCCACTAATGATGGACAGACAAATCATCAGATTTATGATGTTTAGTAATTTAGATATTTTCTTTTTCTAGTAAGGACACACAAATTAAACACCAACATAGTTAATAAATGTTGATGGGTGAATAATTATTAATACATTTAAAAACCAAGTATTACTCACAGAAGGTAAAGATTCAGGAGAAAATGTCAAACGTGAAGAAAGACCAACATCTTGCTCACAACCATTTGATCTTACATGTACCTTCTTTTGCCTTGTAATTCGCGGAGTCATATCCTGAAAACATTACAGTGTTTATAAGCAAATAGTGGGATAGATTCATTGTGCGAAAGAGTTGCAGTACTTAAGGACTTTAGTTTGTTGTTCATACCGGTTTTGTCACAGAGACCTAGATATCTTACACAAAGAAATGTTAAATTAAATATCTAAATAAATATAATAGATTTTTTGGAAGCATAGTTGACTCTCGAGGTTTAAAAAATTCAAAGTCGTGAGAATCTGGAATGATAAAAATAAATAAATTATATATATACACTAGAGTAGGCTGCCTAACCTAGTGATTTATAACTGTGCCCCCCCCCCCAAAAAAAAGGGGTATTAGAGGTTACTGCGTCAACAGACCCAACGTCCAATATAGACAATAGACAACAGACAAAGCTTTATTGTACATGACGCCTGATACAATAATTACAAAAGTAATTCCCAAGCTGGTACATGGTCAATTTATATTTAATAATCTAATTATACTGTAACAAGAGTAAAAACTATTAAAATTTATCTTTAAAAAACGTCTGAATTTTGTAATACGCTTTCTGGCTCAAAGTCTCTTTCAGCTTATAAGTAAAATTTGATTTTGATAAAGTTCTGTATGAATTAGGTAAATGATTGTAGATTTTTAATCCCATGTAAAGAGGCCCAGTTTCAAATTTTGTGTGCGAATGTTTGGGGAATTGAAAAGTTTTGTTATTATTTCTCGTTTGATAACTAAACATGATGAGTAAGCCTTAAATTGAACATAAATAAAACAAATTTTGTATATTTTAGAACACCTCAAAATAAATTCAAACATTACCCACAGTTGGTTTTTGAGGGTCAAATTTTAGAAAGAAAAAATACTACAAATTTTCTTGGATTGAAGATTGATGAAACCCTGAGTTGGGATGATCACATAAAAGGAGTACTTTCCAAAATCAATTCAGGGATACATGCTCTTTCAAAAATGTCAGGCCTTTGTAATACTGAAACTTTAAGGGTAATTTATTTTTCATTCATCCATTCACACATATCATTCGGTTTATGCATCTATGGTTCTGCGAACATAACTTCTTTAGATATGATTTTAAGAAGCCAAAAAAAGCTATCAGAAAGATGTTGAAATTGCAAAAAGATGAATCTGTTGTAGAACACTTTAAAGGCCTAAAAATTTTAACAGTTTATGGACAGTACATTTATGATTCAATCATCTACGTAAAATCCAATCCTGAAAAAGTTACTTTAAACAATCAAACACACTCTTACAATACAAGAAGTGGGAATAAAATCCAGACTGATCAACATTGATTACAATTTTTTGAAAAGAAAACAACCTATAATGGATCCAAATTTTTGAAATACATACCAAGTTATATTAAAAATAACAACAATTTAAATTCATTCAAACGTGCATTAAAAAGTTTCTTGACTGAAAGGGCTATTTACTCACTAGAGAATTTTTATAGAGTTAGTTAGTTAGTTTAATTTATGATAGGTTACGTACCTTTTTTTATTCCGTCGTCAGTCCTAAAATAGTCAGAGGGTGACTAGTTTCGGGTCAGAAATGACCCATTTTCAAACCCATTTTCATCAAATCGATTGGTCCAAAATCCGACAGAAGTCTTCGTTATGAGGTACAAACACATGTCGACACATAAAGTTCACACATTTACGACACAAAGCACATTTAATGAGAGTAGCCGGCTACATTTTATAAGGGACACACTGACGCAGGTAGCACGGCGGACACGACGGAACTAGCCGTTGTCGAAGCGGTGACATTGACCTTTGGGGTGGGGGTGCGTCAGCTGGTAATGGTTAGCATTAGATCCATTGTTGACAATTTCTATCCTATCGAATAGTATGTTAGAGTCGGAATTTAGTTTTTCGTTCAGAACGTTCTGGGGGGATTTTTTTGTGGCTTTATAAATTTCGTAGTTCTCTAAAACGTTCATGAGGGCACCTTTACTGCACTTGTGTAAAATGTGTAGATTATTTTGGCAACTATTGATATTATGGTTGGCATTTAGCAAATGTTCTGCGAATTTGGAACGCTGTTGTGTCAATTTTGGTTTAGGGAGGTGTTCCTTGAACCTGGTTTTGAATGAGCGTCCTGATTGGCCTATGTATAATTTAGGGCAGTCGTTACAAGTCAACTTGTAAACACCAGTACCGTCTAGATTGTCAGTATTATCTTTGTAGCTAGACTGGTTTAAATGACGTTCTAATTTGCTTGATGTTTTACTGGCCAAAGTGATGTTATGTTTTTTCAGTTCGTTCTTTAAAGTGTAATGTAGACTGGCACCAAATTCAACAGAGACGAAGTTGCGAGATTTTTCATTTTGTTTAGCATTATTGTTTTTATGTTTGTTAATAATCTTATCAATAATATTGCTGGGGTAACCATTATTGATAGCTATATGTTTCAATATAAGATATTCGTTATTGTAATCTTCTGTGGACATTGGGATTTTCAGTAGTCTGTTAACAAAACTGTTGTAGGCTGCCATTTTGTGGGCTTGGGGATGATTTGAAGTGGCATGGATAGTATGGTCGGTGGTTGTCGGCTTCCTGTAAATCTTGAATTTTATTTTGTCGTTTTCCTTAGTTAACGTAAGATCTAGGTAGTTTAGAGATTGGTTTTGTTCGATTTCTGAGGTAAACTGCAATTGGGGGGATATGCTATTTAAGTAGTTGTTCAAGAGCTGTATCTGTCTCGAGTTGCCTTTAAAAACAATAATTATATCGTCCACGTATCTTTTGTAGAACAATATCTTACTACGGAATTTATTTTCCTCGGAAAAGATAAATTGGTTTTTGAAATGGTTTAGGTATATTTCAGATAGTATGCTGGATAATGGAGAGCCCATAGCTAAACCATCATTCTGTAGATAAAATTTGCCGTCAAAAGTAAAATAGTTTTGTTCTAGAGTGATTCTTAATAGAGTCATCAGCTCGTCAATGGCTTCGGGACTGAGTTCAGAATTGTTTGACAAGTTGTCACGAGTGATATCTAAGGTCTTCTGGATAGGGACATTCGTGTATAGATTAACTATATCTAGTGAGGCTAGTGTGTGTCTATTCTCAACTTTGACCATGGAAATTTGTTCTACTAAGTCTAGGCTATTTTTTAGGCTATAGTTGTTCTGTAGTTTAACATGGTTTCTCAGTATCTTGTCGAGTAGTTTGGCGATTTTATAACTTGGGGCTGAGGTAAAGTTTACTAAGGGTCTAATAGGCATCTGTTCCTTATGAATTTTAGGTAGACCTCTGAGAACTGGAGCCTTTGGTTTTATCATTTTTAGATGGTTGCAACGGTCACCGTTCAAAATAGATTTAGTTCTGTTTAATGCATGTTTTAACCTGGTCTGGAATGTGTCTGTGGGGTCATTAGTGATTTCTGTTATGTTGTTATTCTTTATAAAGTCTGAAACTTTCTCTTTGTATACACTATTGTCCAAAATGACGATACATTGGCCTTTGTCAGATTTAGTTAAAATGCTGTTGCTATTTATTAACTTTTCTTTAATGGACTTGATAGCATTTATATCGTTGTTCTGAGATTTGTTCTTATGTATTTTAGAGTTAAGTATGGAACGAACCTTTTGGTCAATAATGTGCCTGACGTAGTTCTTGGAATTTTCATCTTGGATACTGTTAATCGCTATTTCGGCTCCGAGTATTTCGGAAACTAGGTTTTTTCTCCAATTACCTTGTTGAATATTGTGTTTAAGAACAACCATTTCAGTTTCTGTGAATTCTAGGTTAGTGCAGTTTCTCACTCTTGGAAAAAATTGGTGGGCTATCATAATTTTCTCAATAGGCATGGTTTGTTGTTGTACTAATTTATCTAGTTTATTTTTCTGGATTCTAGCTTTCCTTGAAATAATTACACTGACTTGATTTTCAATGATAGAAAGGACCTTGTTACTTTGAGCTGGGTGGATGGTATTCAAAAGTTCAATGTGTTTTTTCAGGAGTAAAGTGTTTAGCATGTTTTTCTTTTTGTAAAGGAATTTAATTTCATTTTTAATCCAACATAATTCAGCAACAGATTTGGCTTTTTTGGCAGCGAAGCTTTTGTTATTTATTTTAACCTTTACATAATTCGGTATGACGTTCAAGTCTATGCAGGTCTTGTTGAACTTTATGTTCTGACATGTATTCATTAGCTTCAATTTGATGTTTTTGTATTTATTGGCAATGGAAGCCTGACTGGCGTCTAATTTAAACATTATTGCCACCAGGACTGATGTAGAATGATATGATAGGTTACGTACCTTTTTTTATTCCGTCGTCAGTCCTAAAATAGTCAGAGGGTGACTAGTTTCGGGTCAGAAATGACCCATTTTCAAACCCATTTTCATCAAATCGATTGGTCCAAAATCCGACAGAAGTCTTCGTTATGAGGTACAAACACATGTCGACACATAAAGTTCACACATTTACGACACAAAGCACATTTAATGAGAGTAGCCGGCTACATTTTATAAGGGACACACTGACGCAGGTAGCACGGCGGACACGACGGAACTAGCCGTTGTCGAAGCGGTGACATTGACCTTTGGGGTGGGGGTGCGTCAGCTGATAATGGTTAGCATTAGATCCATTGTTGACAATTTCTATCCTATCGAATAGTATGTTAGAGTCGGAATTTAGTTTTTCGTTCAGAACGTTCTGGGGGGATTTTTTTGTGGCTTTATAAATTTCGTAGTTCTCTAAAACGTTCATGAGGGCACCTTTACTGCACTTGTGTAAAATGTGTAGATTATTTTGGCAACTATTGATATTATGGTTGGCATTTAGCAAATGTTCTGCGAATTTGGAACGCTGTTGTGTCAATTTGGGTTTAGGGAGGTGTTCCTTGAACCTGGTTTTGAATGAGCGTCCTGATTGGCCTATGTATAATTTAGGGCAGTCGTTACAAGTCAACTTGTAAACACCAGTACCGTCTAGATTGTCAGTATTATCTTTGTAGCTAGACTGGTTTAAATGACGTTCTAATTTGCTTGATGTTTTACTGGCCAAAGTGATGTTATGTTTTTTCAGTTCGTTCTTTAAAGTGTAATGTAGACTGGCACCGAATTCAACAGAGACGAAGTTGCGAGATTTTTCATTTTGTTTAGCATTATTGTTTTTATGTTTGTTAATAATCTTATCAATAATATTGCTGGGGTAACCATTATTGATAGCTATATGTTTCAATATAAGATATTCGTTATTGTAATCTTCTGTGGACATTGGGATTTTCAGTAGTCTGTTAACAAAACTGTTGTAGGCTGCCATTTTGTGGGCTTGGGGATGATTTGAAGTGGCATGGATAGTATGGTCGGTGGTTGTCGGCTTCCTGTAAATCTTGAATTTTATTTTGTCGAAATTGTCAACAATGGATCTAATGCTAACCATTATCAGCTGACGCACCCCCACCCCAAAGGTCAATGTCACCGCTTCGACAACGGCTAGTTCCGTCGTGTCCGCCGTGCTACCTGCGTCAGTGTGTCTCTTATAAAATGTAGCCGGCTACTCTCATTAAATGTGCTTTGTGTCGTAAATGTGTGAACTTTATGTGTCGACATGTGTTTGTACCTCATAACGAAGACTTCTGTCGGATTTTGGACCAATCGATTTGATGAAAATGGGTTTGAAAATGGGTCATTTCTGATCCGAAACTAGTCACCCTCTGACTATTTTAGGACTGACGACGGAATAAAAAAAGGTACGTAACCTATCATATCATTCTACATCAGTCCTGGTGGCAATAATGTTTAAGTTTAATTTAATTTAGTCCATTTAGTGCTGATGTTTAAAACCGTCTGTGACTTAAGTTCTGTTCGATATTGTAAGAATTTGTACTATTAATTTTATTTTATTACATTTTAGCGAATTTCCTTATAGGGAAGTAGCTATTACCGTAGGTGGCACGGTAAGACCTAGACCCGGGACCGATTTACTTTTTCATTTTGATGTCCCCAGAGGCCAAAAACACCATTCGTTCAAATTTTTATATATGTATATATATATAAATAAATTATACTATTATTATTATAGGTATCTATATATATACGTCCATGAACGCGATAACTTGAGTAATTTTTGTCCGATTTTGATGAAATTTGGTTTAAAGGTGTAAAGTGGGATAAACTTGAATGAGATCACGAACCAGCACGATCGGACCATGGGAACGGGGCTTTACGGGGGGTTTTATGGGGTAAAAATTGGTTTTTCTCACTTTTGACCCTCAAAACACAAAATTTCCCGATTTCTCTTTAGACCTTTTTAAAGAGCTTAAAAAAACAAATAATTTAGTATATAAAAGTATTTTTGTTCGATTATTAGCAACGGAGAAAATTAAAAAAATTGTAAATTTAAAATTCCCATGTTATTCTTATGGAGAATATTGTCAAATGTTGTAGTTTGCTTGTTTATGGATATATTTTGATCAAACTTGGCAAATTTATTTATTTTGTACTAAGCTATCAATATTTTACTCAAAAACACACTTTATTAGTTTCCTTGTAGCAGCAAACCTAGGTACTCGTTAAACCTAATGTTATAAAATATTTAACTGAAAATCAATTCAGACAAATGGAAATTCGCTTAGTCGGCAGGTTTGCTGCGGCGGGGGTATTTAATTTTATGGCCTATGTTACAAATATTTTAAATGTAATATAGGCTATTCATTGACACTATTCAATGTACCAAGCATGTACAGATGACGAATAAAGATATTTTGATTTGATTTGATTTGACTTATTTTATATTTTTCATAAAATAAAGGATTTGCATGAACATACTTTGCTATTTCAAATATATAAAGAGATGGTAATGTTAAAATGGAATGTTTTTTGAAACAAGTTTACAGCTTTTTTTAGACTTCTGGTGAAAAATAGTTCTGAGAATGGACTTTTGGCAAGTGAACACTTTCTTGGCCTCTGCAGAGTTACCCCATAGAGTGACGCCATAAGCCAACAAAGAATGAACATATGCATGATATACTGTCAATCAGACTTCTAGAGGCGTGACCTTGGATAGAACACTCAGTGAATACCTTGTTGACCTTAATTTTTTATTTAGATGATGAATGTGGTCGGACCAACTTAATTTTGAGTCTAAATTTAGACCTAAAAACATAACAATTTTTGTATTACTGATTGTGGTGTCTGTAACTCTGTTTCTGAGTTTAAATTGAAGAATATTAGTTTTACATTCATTTAATTTCAGACCATGGCTCTTAAACCACTCATTGATTTTTTTAAATTGTGCTGTCAAAAGTTAATTTAAGTTCACTTTGTGTTTTTCTTTTTAAAAGAGCAGTTGAGTCATATATCGTCCAATATATCGGACGTCTTGCAAGTATTTTGTTTTAAACCCTATACATATAGTATTGAGATTGACATATTAGTACAAGTGGTACATATTAAATTAAGGTACAGTTAAGTGCCTATTATCTGAATGCCATTCGAAATGTATATTCAAAATTCACAATTTACTACCACACCAACATTACGAGAGCGGCCAGCAATGCTTCAAGCAAAAATACACAGTACACATAACCTCACTTTATGTCTAACGCGGTTACGAAAACAGCATCGTAATCTTGCACGATCGTGGCAAAATCATGAACAACTCGCGCGGCCGTGTAGACGTCATCATCGTCTCCCGCGGTCTTGCACAATCAAGGCAATAGTGGTAATTTTACGACCACTCGGGTATCGGTATCGAAATTGACTTTTGAGGATCGATTCTCGATACTGATACCAACGTACAAGAATCAACATATACCTACTCAGCCAATAATGTTGAATATTTTTCCTCTTTCATGGCGCTACCTAGGCGGTCCCATGGCCACGACTCCCGGGACGGCCCTGGGCCTACCTATCCATTATCCAAGATAAACCGGCCGCAGCAAGGTCAGAATTATCCAAGTTTGTTTTATATTTATAACAAATTACGTATAAGTTAAACTATAAAAAAAACTCAACTACTAACTAAACTGTAAAAATAAGATCAAGCCAACCTGATCCACTAAACGACAAGTTTGAGCTGTGGCAAAGGCATTAGGGTTAACAAAGATCATGTATAAAAATAAGGTAGGTATAAGGTAACGTAGCTTATGCACAAAAAACCCTAATCATAAAGTACTGTACAAGTACAGATGCCTTAGTCCTTTGGTTTTAAAGATCTTGCCATTACAGTCATGTGAGTCATGGCTCTTAGAATTAGCACACAATTTCTCAATTGGTAATCTGGAACTCAATTTACACAGAGAGAGCTGCATATTACAGTTAAGGTACGATAGCTGAAGACTGGCCTACTTGATTTTAAAAACATAAAATCGTTAAGACGTTACTAGCTGATTTCACACCTTCAATAAAGTGATTTTCTAGTTTTGCATTATGAAAAATAGCTATTATTCTTTAAATACCTACATTTGTAGGCTAGTCACTCTCCGTTTTTCCCAACAGACTTGGAAGGACTTTTTTACTAAGTAATAAAAAAAAAATACCATGGTACTGGTACCTAAACAAAACCCACCTCAAAAAAATCTGGATCATGTTCTTCAACCTTTTCAGGCTGCTGCCGAAATGCTTGTTGCCTGTACATTTCAATTTTATGTTGGACAGAATTAGGTTCAGATACAACCTTTAGAGGCTCTTCCCATGTCCAGTTTTCAACATCCTGCAATCAGAGTTGTATACAAAAAAATGATGAATCAATAAAGATCATGTTAGGCTACTATAATATTTTTGAGATAATTTAATTTCTCACCATATTTCTAAAAAAAACAAAATTTTAGACTTACAAAATGTTGAATGTTCATAAGTGATGGCGATGACTAAACGTTTACTACGTTTATTAAAACAAAGGGGGATAGAGAGACATTTGCTAGTTTTATAATTTAAAAAAAGCTTTTGTAACATAAGAATGTAAGTGGAATGTAAGGAAAAATTCCTTCTTGCTTTTTAACTTAAAATCTTACACATAAACTCAACTGTATCATGACAGCTTCAGCAAATTGTGCGATCTAGGAGGCAAAGCCTAAACTAACACTAGCTTACTGGCACTGGCTGTAAAGTGTTATTTGGTCGGATTGTTGGCTTATTGATCCTAGGGGACTCTTAGGTGAGAACACATCAATGTAGATCAAACGAACAAATAATGACATTTAATATCAGATGTAGTCTGCAACTAATGAGGAGTGTGTCAAAACTGGTGGGAGAGGAGCGTCTAAAATGTATGAGGAGAAGCTTGAGTGCAACTAGATCAGTGATTTATATGACACCGCCATAACTGAGAGTGTATTTTAGGGCAAAAATGAATAAGTTAAGTGATGATTATTGAATAAACAAGATTTTGTGTCTTTGTTACAAAGATATGCTTTCTTTAGCTGGGGACCATTTAATAAAACACAAGTGTAGCAAACCATAATTCGTCCACCTTACCATCACGTCTCTTTACATCCTGATCCTAGAAACCGTTGTTCTACTCTACCCACTTAACTGGGATTATTTGCAAACAGAATGACACCAGGGCCCTGTTTCATAAAAATACTAGTCTAGTAAATACTAGTCCCGTATTTACCTGTCCTACTAATTTGTGTTTCATAAACGTTTTTATACCGCTAGTAAATACTAGTGTATTTTACTAGTCACGTGACCAAAACTACTAGTCACGTGACCAACTCTACAAGGTAAACTTTCAAAACAAGTTTCTAACCTCAATCACAGGTTTTCAAACCCTTTATAAAGGGTTTTAACTTTGTTTTCATTTTATACAAAAAGTAAATAGTTGTAGAAACGCAGTGTTTTCTTTTAATTAATAACTATATAGACACATAAGTAAAACAATCACACATTATTTATCAAATCGCTATTATTTATGTTCATCAATGAGCCCGCCGACGCGGCGCAGCGTCGCGTCGCTGCAATCAACACGGTGATTGTAGTAGCCGGTTGCAGGCCTAGTTTCGGCGCTCAACAGTTGGGTGGAAATTGATCTGTTGCTGCCGCATTCGCTGTGATTTGTATGGTTTTTGTTTTATTCTGACATATAAAATTAAGCTTGCTATGAGTAAAGAAAAGAAGGTTCAAATTTTGAATGTAATTAAATCGTCTAAGGACATTTTGTTTATTGAAATGGTTTCAAGTACCTTTACACGTACCCTTACCCGTACACACACGTACGTTACCCTTACGGTTTCAAGGATATTTGGGTTGAAAACCATTTGGTGATATTCTAATTTTGAGTCTACAAACCATGAATAATAAGCCTAAACGTTTATTGATGTAACAAATAATTGCAACGCCGTTACAAGCAATGGAGAAGTAGGTTTTCAAGTATAAAACATGGCTTAGTCCCTTCGGCAGGGCGTAGCTCAGAGGTAGAGTTCTCGCTAGTCATGTGGCGGGTCCCTGGTTCAAATCTGCAACACTCACTACTTTTTGTTCCATTAATTTAACTTTTACATGTTTTTACATTAAAATAATTAACAGCTCTAATTAACATCTAATTTTTTTATTACTTTGAATAACAAATTCAGAATAGGTACCAAATTGGATTGAAAGTAATGTTTTTATGATGAGCAGTTCAGTCCAACGTCCAAAATCAAATATAGGCCTAAAAAATTGTTAGTACATCACAGTGTTTAAGCTATTTAGGAAAGCAAATAATAAGCACCTCAAAAAATAAGCAACTCCTCTTTAAAACTGTCTTACTATTATTTCCTATTAAAATTTCTTTAAATAAAACCGAGAGCCTTGGGTGTAAAATAATCTGATTAATGTTGCAATGTTGGATAAATTTGTTACATCTTTGTATGCAATACGGTATGCGGTTTTAATTTGGTTTCTCTCAAAGCTTAAAAATCTTTTCTCTGTGATAGCTAAATAGTTGATATAACCATGAAATTTAACTGAAGTAAAATTAGACTAAAATTTCACAGAAATTGATAACTTATAATTAGGCCTATAACTAATTCTAATAGGGCGATTGTACATAGATTATAAAATTCTATTTCTCTCATTTTGTACTACGCCACATTTATTGATTGTAATTTATATCTAATAATTATCATTTTTAGCACTCACAGATCTATTTTTATCTTAAATTGCAAACGTGAGCCAATTCGCACTTGCAAAAAAAACTTAATAATTCATTTTTTTAATGATGTGAGTAATGAAATAACTCTCTTTCCAAAAATACTAGTCTACTTCAAATAATACGGGTGTAGAGAGGTTGTTAGAAAATGGCAAGTATTTACCAGTGTAATTTACAAGAGTAAAACTTTATTAAACACATTGCTGTCTACACTAGTAAAAACCACTAGTAATACTAGTCCCTACACTAGTAACTAGTATTTTAAACTAGTAGGTTTTTGAAACGTAGACTTGTAAAATACACTAGTATTTACAAGTCCATGGACTAGTAAATACTAGACTAGTGGTTTTATGAAACAGAGCCCAGTTGTAGCTCTGTAGTTGGAATTTACGCTTCGCTGCGTGTTTTTACATTTATTTAAACTACCAAATCTACCGCCGCGTGTGGGATAAGGTCAGTGATACGTTTTTTTCCCCACAAGAAACATATCTGATTCTAACATTCATTGCTACATGACTAAAAGCTATCGCTCTAATGCAATGAGTGTGGGTAAATTTACACAATAACACAACATTTTTTCCTACACCTAAACAAATACCTTGTTACAATATCACGGAATATTGAAGAATATTCATACACACACATAACACCAGCTCACTTTGTGAAAACCCCATCTGAATAAATGAACCATGATGATTCCCTGATCTACCGATTGCGGTGAGAACATTGAAGGTTTAAAAGATAAAAACTCAACAATTAAGGACTTAAGGGTCCAGTCTTAAGCCCATCAAAAGCTACTGACAAAAGCAAGTCCAGTAAAACCTTATTTTGCAACAGGTTTGAATACATTGTCCTACCATTGTCCTTGCAGTGGCGGATCTAGAGCAGTCACAAGGGGGGGGCGAACCAGGGAGTCAGGGGCGGTTCGGGGGTACCCCTCCGAAAAATGTGTGTAAACTAAGTCTCCTAAATCACAGTTTTTTACCATTTCTTTGTCCAAAGTTAGTGTGACAAATTATTTTACGCAATTTGTATGCACTACTGTATTACATGCAGTAAAAAATATATGTATATGTATGCCCGAGGGGGGGGCGGTCGCCCCCCTCGCCCCCCCTCTGGATCCGCCACTGTTGTCCTTGGTGGTTTTGGAAACATTTCCGAACAGTTTGGCAATCCCAATTGACACTTATATAAATTCCTGTAGCTCAAAATGTATTGTTGGCAATCACACACTATTTTGCGCAATGAAGGTGTGAATACTCACATCATTTTGTCCTTCGTAACGAGTTCCTACTCCGACACCAGTCAATGGTATCGAGTCACATGATGATCTTCTTCTTCTTTTAAAACAACATAGGGATCTCTTCACTAGTCCAAAGATGAACAGGAGAAGTTTCTTAAGTTTATTTACTAAGATTTCCAAAGCCATAATCTGAAAAAAAAACAACATTATCTATGACACAGCGATTAGAATAGGACAAAAATACCACCGGCATTCCATAGATAATGGGAGAGGAGCAAGGACACCTCAGTCATGACCACGCAACTACCCGTACCGCGTCGTAGTGTCCTGTACTGGCCAGTAACAATGTTAATCCGTATTTTCGTGTTTCCTGTAGTATGTGTGTGTTTTTGTGTTTACCGACGACCTCAATTTGAGTGACATGACATTTTTTAACAGCTTGATGATGGGATTTTAATCCTGAAACCGGTCGCCTAAGACGACAACAATAGGATCACTGACGGACAGGTAATATAACTTAAACCATTTTATGAAAAAAAAACAAAAGAACATTAGGCTACTAAGTTTAATCAATTTAGAACATTCATTTTAAGCATGGTGGGAAGGAGCTGCCTAAAAATAACAAAAGTAGCCCCTTGGCAACTTTGTTTGCTACTTTATGCTCATTAACTATTTGCGTGTTTGCAGAAAACCTTTGAGGAAACTTAGGTTTTGGAATAAGCCCTAACTAATTAAAGGATTTTGGGTTTATAAGATGCACAAAAACATATACTTAAAGTAGGCAGAGTTAAATGACTAACTTAAATAGGCCAACACTTTTTTTTCTCTTCCAAGCATGCTAGGCATGAGCCTGGTATGTTTTCACATTAGTTCAGGCTAGAATTAGGGGATGCGGCATTATCAATTAGATAAAAATTCATTGGTAATTTGGCGGGCGTTTTAACACTAGACCAAATCGCTCACCAGAGAGCGAGTCCACATATTGAGCAGTCCACACGTTAGAGTTAAAAGAATTAATTTAGAAGGACCTAATTCTTCAAGTTCCAGCACCTCGCAAGCTTTCAAAAGTAGGCCTACCCAAGTTTATGTCATGTAAAAGTTAAATGTTGTAGGCCCTATTATAAGACTTATGACATAACTTAGGCCTAGACCTTAATAAAGTGACGGCATTGTGTTATATAGGCTATGACTGATGATGTATACAACTTGGTATCAATTAGACTGCATGGAACAGAACAGAATACAGTGTAAGAATATAGAAGTTTATCCTCACCAACTTTATTTGCGGTAGCTTAGTAGGCCTAGTTTATCCTAATCCTAACATTTTATTTTAAGGTTATGTTACACTGAGAGATTACAATACTTTATCAATCTTTCACACAGTCATAAATCAAGATTGGTCCATTGTAAATAAGGATAATGCGTCAACTATTTTCAACATTTACCAAAAGCCTATTAGAACCGTTTTTGTTTACATCGAGCGGTTTCTAAAAACGATTGACGTAAATACGCGTTTACACACAAAGCAAAAATTCAATTTTTGACATTTGACATTTGACATTTCATTTCATTTCATTTTCACTTCACCATCGTGTACTTGATTACGTCGATGTCATCTCAAAAATGCCATCATGATAAAATAGTTTAGAGGTACCGGTACTGTAGTTGGAAAACATAACAATTATCTTTTTAATACTTTACCTAACCCGCCATGTTAAACCTCCCTATCCCAAGCGTGATGTATACAACTTCCTTACTTCTCGAGTGATGTAAAGGATGTAAAGTATCAAAAACTCACTCGGTGATGTAAAGAAACCCATTTAAATAACATTGAGTGCATAACTTAAAAAATATACCTCTATGGAGCCAATGACATTCAACGCTAGAAATCAGCTGTGCGCTTGAATGTTATTGTTATGCTTTAAAGTATTTCCTAACCTAGCTATTGTTTGTAAAAGAACGTTACTGTTAGAAGATGAGTGAAATGGATAGTGATGAAAAATATTGTACGTAAACCCATGTATATTGTCGGGTCAGGTAAAATCTTGTACGTTACACGTTACGCAAGAGCGTGTAAAACATCACTTAGATGAATTATGCAACTCGCTTCCGCTCGTTGCACAACATTCACCTGCGTGATGTAAAAACGCTCTTACTACACTTGTAATGTAAATAGCTATTACACTTTACTTTTACCTTACATGAGACAGGCAAAGTTGTAATCCTTCTATTAGCAATATTCGTTCCTATACTATGTAAACTAAAAAATATACCTTTTCAAATTGGATTTCATGCCAGCACTATGTAATATTTTTTATAAGCACTGAACCATATCCCTACACTGGTCTTATTACTATAAATATATATATATATATATATATTACTAATACCGGTATTATATTAGACTCTATACACGGCCACCTTTAAATCCAGGCCGCGGCCTGGTAGAATTGGCAAGGCCACGTCGCAAGTAGTGTTGTACAGCGCCCGATCTCCCTTAAGATAACATGGCGGACGGCGGACAGGTGACACCAGCTCATTCATTTAGCGTATTATTTAAATTTATGAATATAAATTTATCAAAAGATTGAAAATAAAACATATACAATTGAAAACCAAAACAATGTAAATTGAAAATTTATACCTGTCCATTTATAATGGAGTCAATATTTTCATAGCAAAGTAACCAAGCTTTTATCATAGATAAAACATACTCCCTTAGTAGATTTCTCATCCTTATGGAACAGCTGGGAAAGACAATTTTATTGTTAGTTCATGTACGGTTTATGTAGAGGTCGTGTTTTGTTTACAATTTGTTTCCCGTTATTACAGCCATTTAAAACCTCGTTTAACCAAATAATACGATCTAATCATAAACAATAACTTGTCCCCTAGTTATATAACCAAACAGTAAAGCACAAATCAAGAAATTAACCCTAAAATAATGGAAACAAAGTGTCGTCGACACTAGCGCCTTTGTGTCACGTACATGAACTAGACACGAAAAACGTGCTTCAAAATTTACAATGGGATGAGAAGTCTACTTGTGTTGGTTAGTCTATGCTTTTATTCTAAAAAAAAATACACAAATACCATTTAGCTTCCTCTAAACAAAACAACTGTAACAACACTACTTGCGACGTTGCCACTTCGAAGGCCGCGGCCTGGAGTTAAAGGTGGCCGTGATATATGTCAATAGTCTATTATTACTTCGGTTAAGTTAAGTGCTGTAAAATATGAAAATTCACGATTGAATTTTACGAGCATACATTTTTAAAAGCAAACTATACTTCGGCCGCTTAGAAAACGACCTGCGCGCTAATGCTAAACAAATGCTGGAGGAGGTCGTTTTCTAAGCGGCCGACTTATAGTTGCTCTGCTTGTGTTTCGTTACGGGGTGAGAAAAGAATAATTTAGTTTTCAAATTTACTACCGTATAAGAAACAGTTACAACACACTTAGCAGGAGGCATATAGGCAAAGCTCAATCGTACTTATTGATTACTTAAATAAAGATCTCTTTATGTATTACCAGCATTTTATAGTGTATTGCATTTAAAATATATGCAAAAATCTAATTCGTTAACCACATGGCACCAAGAAACAAATCTTCATGAAAATTATCACTAAATTGATAGGGTATAAGTATAAAACCTATACCATGAAATTTTACATGCATGTAGCAATTGTGGCCATTTGGTCCAGTGGTATCTGAGTTTATCACTGCCAGCCAAATATACAAAACAACATCCTCTTTTAACGAATTTCCCTATAGGAGGGAAGCTATTTCCTAACACATTTATTATCTTTATATTTATATATCTTATAACACATTTGTAATCTTAAATATCTTAAATGTGTTGTGCGACAGGTTGACAGGTGCGTCGCTTACTGTATTCATACTCATCGATATAACACAGTCAATAGATCTGCACCTGTTGACATATTTTCAATCTAGATTACCTAAAATCGATTCTATTACTATCCGCAGCGCTATACTGATAATTAGACCATTGATAAAACATAGTCCCTTATATTAGTAGATTTCCCATCCTTATGGAACAGCTGAAGCCGGTTTTATTGTTAGTTCCGTCCGGTTTTCTGTATATGTCGTGTTTTAATTACAACTAGTGTCCCTGTTGCTCGAATTCGAGCAATTGCTAAATATTACTGGCGTTATTTTAAAACGAATTTCAACCAAGTCAGCAAATATTTGTAGCAAACTGTTAAATTAGCAAACTTATTGACTGTTTAATTAACATATGCTCTTCTCCCTTTTGATTTCTGACAACAGCTGGAGTTTCATAACAATTTTTGTTTCCAATGTTAATCTTATGGAGAAATACGAAACTTTTAAGGGCTCCAGGGCCTCACTCTCTCATTATTTCCCTAAAAAGAAAGTTTCCTGCACAACTTCACGTTACGCTCTTTCCAATGACACCAAAAACATGACAATCGGTTCAGTAGTTTCGGAGGAGTAATTGTCACAAAAAATCTGCTTGCGTATTAAATAAGTACGAGAGGTCGTCCAGTGGTCGAAACTCGACCAAAAATATGTAATGTACTCACTTATCTATTTTCACCCCACACTGTAAATAAAACATGTGATTGGAGTTTCCTCCATTTGTTTTGATTTTCTGTTTATATTTCGTTGTTATTTCGTAACCAGCATAGCAACGCATAAGATCCATGTTAATTTTTTCAAATTTTTAAACTCATTTTTTGTGCTTATCTTTGAGCCTATTTAAATTTATAAAGGGATTCTGCACACCTACAGGAAAATAGCTTTCCAACGGTATGCGTAGATTTTCCCTACGATGCACACGAGCTGAGAAAAAAGGTTTTAAAGAAACATGCTTGCCTATTAATATATAGAAATAGATAGATTTGTTTATATTATTTTAGGGTTAGTTTATCATAATTTGTGTCTCACTTTTTGGTTATATAGCTAGTAGACGAGTTGTTGTTTATGATTAGATAGTTTTATTTGGTTAAACGAGGTTTTAAATTACTCAAATAATAAGAAATAAATTCTAAACAAAACACGACATCTACAGAAAACCGGACAGAACTAACAATAAAATTGGCTTCAGCTGTTCCTTAAGGATGGGAAATCTACTATTTCACTTATATGATGACTTTTATGATTTCACCGTCTCAAGGAAAAGAGGACATCTTGTAAACGAAAATAAATACTTAACCCTACAATCTTCTTAGCATTGGATGTAACCTCATAGTATATATTAACTACCTGTAATTATCTCCCAACCACGCTGGATCGTGCCAAAGACATTGTAGTAGGTTGGCAACTCTGGCTCCGACATTGTAGTGTTATTCATAAGTTGGCAACATTGTTGCCGATGATTGCTTCAGTGCAGCCATGATGGTGTCATGGTTAATTACTGAAGATCCTCTGCAAAAGGAAAATGCATGCAAGAGAAAGTCCTAAGATGTTTGATTGTTTAAATTGGCCAACAATTATCACTTCTTAAAAACTGGCTCTCTATGAATTTATTTTGTAATTTTTTTAAGCACTATAATTTGCGAAATAATCAACTAAATTTTGAATCATAGAATTTACTACTGAGTAAACCTGATTGCGCAAAAACTGCGATCATAGTGGCGGTGTTTTAAGCAAATATCTTATTGGGTTTCCTTAAAAATGTCTACACGTTCACAAATTTAAAGAATTTTGCTGAATATTAAATTTAAAAAAAACGAGTCCATACGATCTGAACCATTATGCTAAAGAAATAAACATTAGAATATCTAGAAATGAAACGTTCCAGCTTACGTAATAATTTTTACTCCCTGTTACTTTTACAAAATATAAATTCGTTTTAATTACGAGTTCTAGCTTACTTTTCGTTGATAGGGGTTTAAATGTTTACTTGACTTGTGCTGTGCTGTTCAAATAGACACGAAACTGGAAATCTATATAATAAGTGAAGCAGTTTTTTGTTAACGCAACTCCTCCCTTATTTGTGGACACCAATTTCAACGTTTAAGGCGTCAAAAGATTTGTCTCCATATGTAGTTTTGCAATAAGGTTTTAGAATTTAAAAATTCTTACTCTTAAGGGCGTGAGACCCTCTCAAAGGTCGGGTTTTCCCCATAAGAAATACACAGAACAAATTTAAAAACAAAAAACAGCTGTTTATAAAAAGAAACTCATTAGTTTTTTTTGGGAGTAAATATTAATGTTTGTAATATTCAGTTGGTTAAGACCAAGTTAAACAATTAATCAGTTAAGTTGGAAGAACAGAAAATGCCTAAAGTTCAAAGAAGAAATGTTGAAAACGGGAGGAGGAGACGATTAATAAGATATCTTATGCGTATGAGGAGAGTAGAAAAAGAGAGGTCTGGTCTAACAGATCCATCCAGGTTCAAATTCACTTAATGAGATGAATAATATTTGACAGTTATGCTATGCAACTTACTTTGGAAGTGAAAAAATATACGAAGCACATGGTGTTTTCACGCTGGTAAAGTAAACTTGCCTAATCACAGAT